CCACCTCCAGCCTCATCCCATGACCAACCCTCCCTCTCATTCCTGCCTCCTTGACTTGACATAACCTGTCCATCTTCTCTCCCACCTATCTGCCCCTCCCACCTCACTGACCAATCCCCACCACTCCCTATTTGCACTCACCTATCACTATCCCACCTACCTTCCCCATCCCCACCCCTCCTCTCTCTATTTATTTCTGAGCTCCCTTCCATTTCTGAGGAAGAGTCCCAACCCGAAATGTCAACTTTCCTGCTCTTCTGATGCTGCCTGGCCTGCTGTGTTACTCAAACTCCACACTGTGTTATCTCTGATTTAAAGCCCAATTTGTTAAGGTTTTACTTCAGCTCATCTTCCAGAAAGAGTTACATACCATCAGTTGTGATGCAGAGCAATAGTCCTCTGTTACGATTCTATGACTTTTAAAAATTTAGATAGTGAGTAAAAAGTATTAGCATGCTGCATTGCGTCAATTGTGGTGCCTGTTTCATGAAGTGATTAGTAACAATGGGCAGGAACAACGCAGAAACTATGACACAAATGGAATTACAGTTTAATATATTTGAATTCGGTTTCCTAAGTTCTTAACCATGCCACAGACATAATAATTGACATTACGCATTCTTAAAGGAGTATTTGTTTAAAATAAAATTTTGTCAGATATCTATATATCATAGTGTTTGTTTCAGATATATAGTTGTTGGAAAGGAAAATAATTTGAATCCTGTTGCACCTATTTTTCAGGTGCACTATAATGGTAAAGAGCACCATTTTCCTGCTGCTGTTTCCATGCCCAAAGGCAGCTGAAATACATCCAATACCAGATTGCTGTACTCAGGCATCTCCAACAGCTATCTAAACTGGCATTAAGCTACCTGCATGTACTACTGAGGGTCTAAAGCATGCTGAACCACCCCTTTCTCACAAATCCTTAACTATGAATATTGCAGCAATTGAAGATGCACCCCTAAGTTTGTTATCAATCAGGGTGAAGGTAACCAGTAAATTTGTGTCCTGGGGTCTGATAGTCTACATCTGGATATTTGAGTTTGATCAGTTGGCAGGCATTTATTTTGTATTCAGTTTTGGGGCATGACAACAGCTGGGTCAGCAGTTACTTCCCATTCCTAATTGCCCTTGAAACAGTGGAGGTGAGCTGCCTTCTTAAATTGCTGCATTCCATGTACTGTAGGTAGATCCACAATGCTGTTAGGGAGGGAGTTCCAGGATTTTGATCCAATAACACTGAAGAACTGGTGGTATATTTCCAAGTAAGAGTGGTGAGGGGTTGGAGGGAAACTTGCAGGTGGTGATCTTCCCATGTATCTGTTGCCCTTGTTCTTCTAGATAGAAGCGGTCACGGGTTTGGAAGGTACTGACTACCAACCTTTGCTGGATTTCCAGACTGCATCTTATTTGATTTTATTTATTGTTGTCACATGTACCTAGTACAGTGAAAAGTTTTGTTTTGCATGCAGTACAGACAGATCATAACACACAAGGAAATACAGATCATAGGGTGTTTAATAGAGCGAGGCACAGAAGGTTACAGCTGCACAGGAGTGGCACAAAAGCAAGATCAACATTAGATTTGAAATTTGAAATTTGAGAGGTCCATTCAGCAGTCTAATAACAGCAGGAATAAGCTGTTCTTGAACCTGTTGGTATGTGCGTTTAAGTTTTTGAGTCTTCTGCCTGACAGAAGAGGTTGGAAGACAGTATAAGTGGAGTGGGAGGGGTCATTAACGTTTGTTGCCTTCCTGCAGCAACGAGAAGTGTGGATGGAGCCCATGGATGGGAGGTCGGCTTGCATGATGGCCTGGGCGGTGTTCACAACATTCTGTAGCTTCTCACGGTTGTGGGCAGAGCAGTTGCCATACCAAGCTGTGATGCACCCAGTTAGAATGCCTTCTAAGGTGCGTCAGTAAAAGGTGGTAAGGCTTCTTATGGACATGCAGAATTTCCTTAGCCTCCAGAAGAAGAAGAGTCATTACTGTGCCTTCTTGACTATCACATCTACGTGGGAGGACTAAGACAGATTGTTGGTTATCATCACTCCCAGGAACTTGATGCTCTTGACCGTCTCCACCTCTGCTCCATTTATGTAGATAGGAGCATGTGCTCCTCCTTTCTTACTGAAGTCGATGATCACCTCTTTAGTTTTGCTGACATTGTAGATACTGCTGTTGAGCGTCAGTAGTAGAGAAAGTCGACACTTGTGGATGTGGAGCCGGCAATCAAGCAAGATGGTGGCAGAGTAGGACACTCCACCCGGAGCACTTCTGTTCTTTTTCTTTCTTTTCTTTTTCCTCTCTTTTTAGCAGTCCTGGAGCAGCACATGGGGAAGTAGTCCCTGAGCAGCGGAAGGGGAAACCCGAGTCCCTGAGCAGCGCAAGGAGAAATCTGAGTCCCTGAGCAGTGTGAGGGAAACCGTGAGTCCTGGAGCAGTGCGAGTGAAAGCCCAAGTCCTGAAGCAGTGCACTTTGCCTTAGTGCAGCTGTGTGCCATTGCAGAATGGACTGGAGGCTTGGAGTGGAGGGGAACAGTTGCTGGACTGGGGTCTGGCACGGACAGTCAGACCACATGCTCACTCATCTGTTGTAATGTAATGTCTACTTGAAATTCTTTACTAGAGTGTAATGTCAATCCTTTAACTATGTTATAACTATCTTATTTCTAACATTTTTTAGACGCAATAAGTGATGCTATTACTTTTCCTTTTATTCCGCTTTTGTATCCAAGATTTGTGACTACGTACTTGTACCTAAAATGGTGTCATTGAGGCAGCCATTGTAAAGACTTTTCACTGTAGTCCTGTACATGTGGCAATAAAGGATATTCTATATTCTATTCTATTCTAAAGTGGACTGGTTTGTCTTCGATAATGTCAAGCTTCTTGAATGTTGTTGGAGTTTCACTCATTCAAGCAAGTAGGAAATATTCCGCCATACTCCCTGACTAGTGCCTTGTAAATGTCGGACAGTCTTTGGTAAGTTAAGAGGTGAGTTACTCACCACAGTATTCTGAGCCTCTGAGCCTCTGACCTGCTCTTGTACCTATTGTATTTATCCGGCTGATCGAGTTGAATTTCAGTGTTAACCTCCAGAATGTAGACGGTGGGGAGTTTCCTGATGAGTCTAAGTCGTGATTTCACTGAAATCTCAGGCCTCCAGCTTCTGTCACCCACTCCAAGCCCACTGACCATTCTGTTCCTGAAAGCAGGCTAAAAGCAAATTCTCTCCCATTGTTTTACTCACTGCAGTAATATGTAAAAAAAAGAGAAGCAAGAATTTACCTTCAATTATCCAAAGTCATATTCTGATTCCCTCTAAGTTCTCTTGATTGTACCAGTGCCTGCATACAGAAATTGGATCATTATAGGATAGCACGGTGGCTAAGTAGTTAGCAGTGCAGACTTAAAGAGCTGGAGACATGACTTAGATTTCACCCTTGGGTGACTGTCTGTGTGGAGTTTGCATGTTCTCCCTGCATCTGCGTGGGTTTCCATTGTGTACCTTGATTTCCTTCCACAGTCCAATGATTTGCAGGTTAGGTGAATTAGCCATGATAAAAATGCGTGGATACAGGCATAGGGTATGGGGTTTGGTCTAGGTGGGATGCTGTTTGGAGGTTTTGTGCAGTCTTGATGGGCTGAATGGCCTATTTCTGCACTGTAGACATTCTTTGATTCTATGATTCTATTAGAAATGGGAAGATTGATCAGCACAAGCACAAATTCTATTGTTCGAATTTTTGGTCCTTGGTGGCGATTTGCATATGAAATTCAAACTAACCTACGACAACTACGACCGTTTTTGCAGATTTTTTTTACATGGACCTTTTATAAAAAAGGTATGCATTTTCTCAAGCTTGCAAGTTATAACATGACACAGTTATAGTGTCCTATCCTCTATACCAGAAGATCTGGCTTCAAGTCCCAACTGCCCTGGAAGTGTGACGTAACAGGTTGTTTGAACATAACTAGAAGTATGTTTTATGTTTTATTTTTACAACATTTTTCTGGAACTGTAATGAATTTGATTGGATGTCATACTTCTTGGTACACTACTGGATAAGGATATTTTGAGGACTTGGGTCCATGTAAAAGACACGTGAATTGCAGCAACAATATTTTGTGAGGAAAATTAACATGAGGTTCTATGATCCAAATGTTCTTTTGGCATTGTAGCTTTATTTTCAATTTCCTTGCTAAAAAGGGACCTAAGGGGCAACATTTTCATGCAGAAGGAGGTGCATGCATGGAATGAGCTGCCAGAGGAAGTGGTGGAGGCTGGTACAATTACAGCATTTAAAAGGCATATGGATAGGTATATGAGTGGGAAGGGTTTAGAGGCATATGGGCTAAATGGTGGCAAATGGGACTCGAGTAATTTAGAATATCTGATTGGCATGGCACGTTGGACCAAAGAGTCAGTTTCTGTGCTGTACATCTCTGATACTCTAATCTCTACCTTCTGTTGAAGAAAATAGGTGTTGGATGTATGGAGTTAGACTTGTTCATGTGTAGCCATTCCCTTGTTATCAGTGAGGCTGACTCATTTAATTATATTTTTATTGACGAATATGAAGCCTTTTCTTCAGTTGCCCTGATTTAATTGGTATGTCAATATTGGTGTAATTTAATCAGAGTGTTGAATTTGGAGTTATTCATTATAATGGATAATTATACATAACTGATTCTTTTGGCAGGGAATGAAAAATTATAGAAGACATAACAGTTAATACTGTCACCGTGACATTTTATTTCACCTTTTTGTTCTCCTGTACATCGCAGTGCCTGCATGTGACTTTGTTCCGGTTTGAAAATAGACCCGTTCTTTTATTTTTTTACATTACCTAGAGTTCAGAAACTAACTAGGTCAATCAGTATGAAAGACAAGATACACTGGGCCCTGAACTCTGTATGTTTGCAAAATTACACATTATTGTAGTATCTTAACTGATGAAGTAATATTTCATCTTCTGTTTCTGACTTACTTCAGCAGGGGTCCATGATAAGAACAATTGGCACAATGCCGTTCTCGATGACATTGATGCAACCTCACAGACAGAAGATGATGCCTATTCAAATAAATCTGGTGCAGGAGCCCAGCACCCGATTGGAAATGTTATCGTTACTCTGATCAATTTGGTGACTTTGATTCTTTTTTGGTAAATTCACATCTTTCTATTTTTTTGACTTATACCTTTTAGTTAAATAATGGAAAACAGCAGCAATGCAAAGAATAATGGCAATGATGTACTTTAGCTTTTGCAATACTATTTGTTTCAATTGTTTTAGTTTATTGAAAATGTGCTGCAAATGGAGTTATGTTAGTTTCATTTATTTTTATAACAGTGTTCCACCATGGTCAGCTTCATACACATCTTCTTCCATTCTTGTTGCTGAAGTGTGTAGATAATATGGGTCAACTTCCTGATTTGAAAAAGCAGAAACCCAAGTTGGAATTTTATCTTTTGAGAATGGGATAGTGATGGAAACATTGAAAATAGGAGCAGAAGTTGCCTATTCAGCCCTTCAAGCCTGGTCTGCCATTTAATATGACCATGGCTGATCATCCTGTTCTTGCTTTATCGCCATTACATTAAATCCAATTAGCCCTAAGAAGCTAACTGCTTCTTGAAACAATTCAATGTTTTAACTTCAACCACTTTCTTTGGCAAAGAATTGTACAGATTCACCATCTCTGGTGAAGAAATTTCTTATCACAGTCTCAAATGGCCCATATCCTTCGACTGTGACCCTTTATTCTGGACTCCCTGATCATTGGGAAAATACTTCCTGCATTTACCTGTCAAATCCTGGTGTCAGGCCATGATGCCAGGATAAAATTTCACCAGGTGTGAATGGCGGCAAGTCAAGTGGAGATTCAACCTGCAATTTTGAAACAAGCCATTAGAAGCTGAATAAGATCTTTGAGGAAGCCACTGACTACAATGTTATGAGCCCCCTCAGAATGATTTGAGTTGTGCAGGGGTGGTATGGTTGATGCATGGTGGGGAGAGTTAGACAAATATCAGAACCTTGTTTGAATTTAAAGGGCAGCGGAGGGGCAGTGATCCCTCAGCAGACATTTACCAAGACCGTTTCATTTTGTTGATAGGATGGAATAGGACAGTGTTACAGGATATAGTCAAAATGCTATATACTTCTCCTTGAGAGGACATGGAGAACATCTATCAGCATCCCTGTTGTTGCAGCCATTTGAGTTTTACCGACACGGGTTGAGAAGTCATCCTCCACAGCAGGAGAGCCCTGAGAGGAACCCCCAGATATAGAAGGCAGCTACTCCTCCTTCACAAGGCACAGATCAACCTCTGCTAAACTGAGGTGGATGAGGACCTGATGGAGATTCCAGGTGCCTTGTGGCCCTCTTGCCTTAGCAAGATGCCATTAAGCTATGGGCAATGAAATGGAATGCAGTTCTATGCACTTTTCTAGTATCTGCCAACTGGTCTGCTGGATGTGTCTCCCTACAAGAGTCACCAGTCTCTTGATGGAGGAGGGCACTGCACAGACAAAAGGGGAATGACAGCAATCACAGACTAGATGGTTTCCTTCACTGTCCCACCAAGGATTTCCTCTGGACTTTTTGTCTGATCTCAAATATCTCACCCTGAACATCAAACATCTGCTGCCTCATGAATGATTTCAGAGAGTCATCAGCATGGACTTGGTCTCCCATCTTCTCTGACTGTCCATGGTCAGCTAGCCATGCGTGAACGTGTTGCTCAGACCTGGTTTTGAACCCAAATCTATTGCTGGCCGCACTCCCTCCAAGGTGTCATACTGTATCTGAGCTGGTAAAAGGAGGGGAATACAGATATGACACTGAGACTTCCTCATTACTCCTCAAAAGTGAACAAATGTTGCCATAGAGTTGGCAGCTCCCTGATCTAGTGAATGACCTGCTTGAAAAAGCAGAATGAACAGACCTCTAGATCCTCTGGACAGGAGTCAGAGAGTTGATTGCAGCTCAAGCAGGTCTTTATTAATTGGAAGCTGCATGCATACCTCATGCTGCTTTCTCTGTGGCCTTTCCTAATGTTTCTTCGTCTGATGGTACGTCCACCTCACATTAAGATGGTTGCCCTTGTATATTTCCAGCTGTAGTGCCTTCCCCTCCTCTTTGGGAGTCAGGATGGTGATGATCAGGGCTGTTCAACCATCTCTCTAGCATTCAGAAACACAGGGGAATAACGTTGCTGACCACTGTAGAACAAACTCAATGTTAAATCACATTGCCTGAACACTCCCGCACATCCAGCCAATAACATGCATGTGGTGTTGGGCTGATCTGGACCTGCCTGGCAAGGAACAGCAGTGCCTGGCTTATACCCCATGGCAAAGCTACAAGCATTCCTTTCCCAGGAGATCCTGCACTCTGTTCCCGTGGTCATTGCCTGCAATTGGTGTTGCAGTTCAGTTCTCCAGTAGTCTGATATCTGCTGACTTCCGTTGTATTCTCCCCCAAGTTTTGCTCAGAACTATAGAAAGGTTTTAGCACAGAAAGAAGACAGCCAGCCTATCATGTCTGCACAAACCAAATGGTTAAGTCACCATAGTCTTTTTTTCTCATTAGACAGAGAGAGAACTGTTAGAGATTCAACTTGAAAGTCACCATGCCTCAGGCAAGGGGAAAGGTTGAATAGGAGAGTACTTCATGGTGACCTTAGCTAATGCAGGAATTGAACCCATGCAGTTGGCATTACGTTGCATTGCAAAGCAGCTGCCCAGCCAACTGAGATAAATGACCCACGAAACAAACTAGCCACCCATTCTAATTCCACTTTCCAGCTCCTAGTCCATAACCTTGCAGGTTACAGCACTTCAGGTACAGACTGAAATTCCTTTTAAACGGGTTGAGGATTTTCACATCACCCGCCAAACTGGGCAGCAAATTCCACGCACCTATTGCCGTCAGAGTGAAAAAATGTTTTCCTCATGTCCCCGCTAATCCTTCTACCAATCACCTAAATCTGTGTACCCTCGTGATTGATCTCTCTGTTAATTATGCACCTCTCCCTGTCCACTCTATCCAAACCCATTATTTTGTACACATTGATTAAGTCACCCCTCAACCACCTTTGTTACCAGAAAACCAGTACTTACCCATCCAATGTTTCCTCATCACTGCAGTTTTCAAGCCACATTCTTTTAAATCCTCTCTGTACTCTCTCTGGAGCAATTGTCTCTTGCCCATAATGTTGTGACAGGGACTGCACGTGCATCTCATGGTTTGAACTATCCAGTGTGTTATATTGTGCCAGAATTGCATCCCTGCTTGGTTAGGCTGGGAGGTTTCCTCCTCCTGTCTATGGTGAAGAGGAACTGCCCGCTAACCCAGTGGTCTGGAGGAGAATATGCAGGAACTAATAACTGAATGGTGGGACCATCTGAGTTCTGGTTTCCTCCATACCCACAAGTGGGTTCTGATCACATCCTAGTTGACCAATGACAGTTGCTAATATGATGCTGGCTAGGAATCTGTAGTAAAGAATTCCACAGATTCCTCCGAGAGAAGAAACTCCTTCTCATCTCTGTCTTATATGAGCAACCCCTTATTCTGAGATTATACCCTGTGGTCCTCGACAATCCCAAAAGTGGAAACAACCTTTCCACATCTACTTTATTAAGTCCTTGAAGAATCTTGTACGTTTCAATAAAATCACCTCTTGTCCTTCTATATTTCAATGAGTACAGATCCAACCTACTCAACTACTCTTCATTGGACAGTCCCTACATGCCTGGTATCGGCCTTGTGAACCTTGTCTAGAATGCCTCCAATGCGAGAATATCTTTTCATATTGCCATATGTGCTTCAATATTTCCTTCACAGAAATGTGGCAAAGTATTTCAGTAAAGGTGCAACAGGATATAAAGTTGTGCCAAAAGAAAAATCAAATAATTTGGCCATAATAAACGTTATTAATCTAATTCAAAAAGTTAAATGGTTTGAAAACAGCAAAAGAATAAAAAGAATTTGAGATTCAGGTTAGCTCTCAACAGCTGGTACTCCTCCATGCAATCCAGAATGCAATGTATTTGCATGTTTCAAATCATATGTAATGAAAGTGAATTGAAGTATTCCCACAAAGTACATTTCCTAAACATTCGGTGAAATAGTATGTCAGACTGGTGCAAAAACATTTTTCTATTTGTCAATTAAGCTAGTCTCAATTTATCTTCTCCTTATATTTCTTTCTTCTTATATTTTAATTTTCTCATGACAGAGCTTCAGAAAAAAATTACTATAATTATCTACACCATGAAATAAATAAAGGTTTTTAAGGTTTTAAAGTGGAATGTAATCAAATAAAACATTTGAAGTAATTCATTGACATTGTGTGTAAGATGTACAATCGATCAGTTGGTTTTCAAATTGCCTGTTGGCTCCAATGAGTTAGAGACAGAGTGGGACATAAAGCAGCACCCAGGGCAGTGTATTTTACAGCAAACCATCAGCACAGTTGGTTTCAAAAAGTCTCTGTGAGCTACACAAATGCAACACTATTGCAATGTCTCCTGATAGAGCAGGGTGATTTTCCTTTGAAAGTATAGTGACTGAAGGACAGTTTATGTACGTGTAAAATCAATCCAGTCACTTAACATCTTTAAATGTGGTTGACCAAGAAACTATCCAAACTTCCCCATTCTGGCCAGAAATACTGTTGTCGCTTCCTATAAACAATAATGTTTGAAACAACCGTTTTAAAATGTTCGAACATTTTAGCTGGATTGGTACATTGGTTTTTAACAAAATAATGGTTATTTCATTACAATAAATTATTTGTTTGCAATGGGTACAGAAAACTTTAAAACAAAACTTATGGTGCTCCATTAAATGTCATTGTTGTAAAACTTTTTAAAAAATTCTTTGTAACCAGTTAATGTAGTGGTCGATAGATGGGTCTATGTTGCTTTTTAGCTTCTGATTCCTTTTCTTTACTAGTATGCATGAAGTGTTGGTTTGTATGTGCTTATTTCATTTTGAGTTACCATTACACAGAAAATGTTAAAATTTTAAATAACTTTGAAAGATGACGGTTCTAAACTACTTTTATTTGCTAAGACAATCAGCTACTATATAAATATGAAAATATTGATTTTGATGGCTGAAGGATCCATTTTCTGAAAACTGAGCTTGCATTTGAACAAGAATATTCCATTCTACAATTATCTATTGTTAAATATGAAATAGCACAGTTCTCGTTCAAGTGAAATGT